GAACAGCCCCGTTGTAGCGGGTACCTGGCCTAAACTCAACTGAGTGGCACTGAACCTCAACTTTGACACTTCAGACTACACTCTTCATACAGAAACAGACAAATCACAATCAACATGTCACTCAGCTCAGATGACGAGGACAATATCCTCTCAGACGCTCAGTCAGCCAGTTCGTCCGGAGAAGACGAAGATTCTCCCCCACGGCAATTGTCGCAGAACCTGTTTGCGCCTCCATTTTATGGGCGACCTCCAACGCCTTTGCCCCCTTCACCCTCACTCACATCTCTTCTACGCCCTTCACGGCCAACAACACCAGACGCATCTGATGACGATGCAATCGCGCCTGTGCCTAGAGCCGCTCCAAAGGTGCCGACGTACGAATACTACGGCTTTGTGCTGTACCTCTTCAGCAGTCTGACATTCCTCATTTACCTCCTTTGGGGCTATCTCCCTTCACCATTTCTGCACGCCCTGGGGATATACTACTATCCCAACCGATGGTGGGCGCTGGCGATACCGGCTTTTATCGTCATGACAGTGGTGTACATCTACGTGGCTCTCGCTGCGTTCAACACGGAGATGTTGACAGTGCCACTATCGAGTGTTGAGACTGTCGTTGATGGGGCGGGAAAGTTGGCGGAGATTGATGCAAAGGGAAGATTGAGGGGGAGTCGCAATAGGGAGAGAAAGGTGCATGGAGATGGGAGATTGAGATGGAGGGAGATTTGGAGTGAGGGAACGGATGCGGTGATGGATATTCCGCTGGCGGGTGTTTGTGAGATTTTGTATGGAGAGGGAAGAGACGACGGTGAAGATGCGTACATAGATGATGAGATGTGACAGACAGTTTCTGTTTATTCGCGATATTCTTGGAACAATGACTTCCATATTCTGGTTGTAAATGTCTTCCACGTCCAACTACTATTCTCATCATATCCCAGATCAAATAATAGTATAACAGCAAAAATGAAGACCAAGAGTGGTAGCGACACACTAAAAAAGACCCCAAAGTTCTTCTCGCCAGGTAAATACCGCTCAGACATACTAAACAGACTCGTAGAGAATGACAAGGGAATGAAAATGAGCGCGACAATAGTAAACGTCTTGATAGTCTTGGCTTCGCGAATCGACCTTGCAGCTCCATTGATACCTGTCACTCCAGTAAGCGACTCGCTCAGAAACTCTGCTCTTTGTCTGAGAGAATGCAATCTCATATAAATGAACTGGAGATCTGACTCGGATTCTGTCCACTGTGCGTGGTCGGTTGGAACTACGGGGTCGTCAAATTTGATGTGCAACTGTAGCATTATTTGTGAAACATCCTTGATATATCTGCTGAGTCGGCTGCATAAAAGTTGGATATTGCTCCACGATGCCTCGAGAGATGTTGTCTGAACAGATGCAAAATTGTCTTTTCGCTGGAGAGGAAAAGCCATTGTCGACAGAAGCGCATCGTGGTATTCGATCAAAAGCATGTAGTGAGACGCTATGATCTTCCTCATGAAAACAGTCATGTCTAGCTGAGCTGCTTGCGTAGCAGATATGTCATTGTAGCATTCGGTGTAGTAGTGAAGCAAGTCGTCATATAGACATTCCCGTGAAGGCCCTGATGTTCTGCTCCGTACATTCCAGGGACTGGGGATAAAATCTGCATAACCTCCTTGGAACGGAGGTGCAGAAAATTCTATAGTCTTGAGTGACCACGCCTCAGATTTTGGCTGTGGTTTTTGCCATATGTGAGCTTTTCGAAAGGGTGGATCGCAGAGGATTAAAACTATAGAAGAATATCAATCCGACTATTCCCAGACTATGGTGATAAATAGTAACTTACCACTCCAGTCGTTTTCATTAGAAAATGTCGTTTTCCAGAATGAACATTTTCGGTGAAGGATAACTGTAGGCTCCCAATCCTTGCCCAGCTTAGTCCTCAAAGCGTCTCTACCAGATTCTGCACATCCTACGCTGAATGACCCGAACTCTTCACGAAGAGCTCGAATGTCGTAGTAACTTGCAGTAAATGATCGATTTCCGTCAATAAGTGAAGGTAAGCATGGTGCTAGATTGGGCTCATAAGGCCACCGTAGATATGTCGATGTTCTCTCATGAGTGACAAAGAACATAGGATCAACCTGGAGTTCGTCACCCAAAAGTGCTATAACTTCTGTGTTTAAGCCTTCGACAAGATAGATCATCCTATGGCTTTGACCATCTTGACGCAGCTTTCGCAGTTCAGAGAAATGGCTCTTCAGTTGTGCAACATGAGGGGATTCCCTAGGCGACAGCATTTTGCCTTGACTGTCCAACTCAAGAATTGCTGCTCGGACATTCTGCCTGTCGCACAGCATAATAGCACGATTGCGTCCATCGGGTAACTCGAGATTGGGCTGTCGAGAGCAGCTCTGCTTGATGTAAGTGAGATATGGTCCGTCGGCAGATAGCCAGCTGCCATTGTCATCTTTTGTTCGGGGCGTGGAACGAGCTTCGGGTGCTTCCACTATGGGACATTTTATAGGCATGTTGTATACACTGTGTGATTCTGTAATAAATGAGCATTTCTCCAGACTGGACTAATGAGTCGGTATATATAGCTGCGGCCTAATGGATGTGCAGTATGACTAAGGATTGTAAGCTGAAGGTGAGGAGAGCTCTGACTGGCTACTACAAATGGCGACCGAGTCTTTGAATGACTAGGACTTGCTTGTATTTGCTTATCGTAATTAAGACTTGGAGCATATGTAATGAACATCTTCCTAGGTGCTCCTCGATTGATACCGATTGTCTACCCTAGAGATACTACATGAAAATGGCATGTCAAAGTCTTGAGATCTTGACTGACTATTCTGTAACTAAAAACTAACAATCAGTGAGATGATTGATGTGGTCTTAAGGTAGTTTAGTATTAACAATTTAACAGAAGGAGTCCCATATACAATGTTGTCAACGTTGGGAATGCTTTTGTAACATTTCCCAGTGATACCAAAAGACGGGATTTGTGCAATCAAGTTTATGCATATGACTATATATCTTCATAACTATTATGCACACGATACAAGTCACTCACTAGTTAACACGCAAAAATGACTGGACGGCAGGACGGCCATCCGTGCTATTCTTACTGTGACGTATGCTTCTGAACAAGGATCAAGGTGATGTACCGTTCAGCCCAAGGTACTGTCTCCTGGTAGTGGTTCGCGCCCCAGAGGTGCAGCCTCTGACCCAAGGACCTGGAAGCAAGCACCTCTTGTTTCATCACCAGGACGAAGGAGATGAATTATTTGGCACGGGCCAGATAAGACCTGCAGCATTAAGGAGGCAGGAAATACAAGTCCGAATAGCATCTTGTGGTTATGGAGGGTTGCTGGGAGACCTATCATCCAAGAGCTTGGACTAAGCGTAACAATGTCATGTATCTTGTCTCCAGGAACAAGGAACCAGATGATGCGCGGCAGAGTCTTGACCCCAGAGTCCGGTGATTTCCTTCTTGAGATCCCGTTGCCTTGCAGTCGGTACTCAATGCCATTAATAGCAATGCAACCTGGCAGGCTCTACCTCACGATTAAACTACTATTGCGGAGTTCGCTAGGGAACAACCGAGTCTCCTTCGCTCTGGATCCTTTTGATAGCTGTCTAAACTTAGATAGATAGCCTTATGAGCTGGAGAGCCTGGAGATTCACACTGCCTTGTTGGAACAGATGACAACAAGGGAGACATGATGACGTTATGCTTCACCATGATCTGACTTGAAGAGTTTTCATACCTAAGTTGAGATGGTCTGTGGCCGTTACAACCGTAGAGATACGACGAATTGTGAGTGGACAGTCGCGATCTGTGACTGCCAGGGTTGGATAAAGCGTGCCGAACCATCTCGCAGCCTTGATGTCGACTCTTGTCAACACCCAAAATAGGTCACTCCTTTGTCCTCGCCCTGACACGTCAACGGGGAAAAAGCAAAACGAAAATTTCAAGCAGATAATGTGAGACAAAAGACGGTGAGCTGATCGTGGTGCCCGCAAGAGTGACAACCTGGCGAGCCGTCAAGGCGTCAAGAAGCCAAGATTGGTACCATTCTCACCTCGTTTTGGACGAGCTGAAACATTTTCAGAGATAGCAGTTAACCCTAGCAAGCTTCTAGAGTCTTCCCTTTGAAATTGCTATCTTAAGTAATTTAACAGACCAAAACTCTTAGCAGCCCCCCTGTTAGGCCTATATAGAGGCCGCAGGTGTGGTAACGGGACCAATAATATGGCTTTAGGAAGAGAAAAGAGCAAAGATGCTTTGCAAGAGCACACTCAGCCTGTTATGGTGGAGTGGAGTTTCTACATTTTTATTAAAACATCCCTGCTGTTGCGGTTTGTGAATATGCATGTTGGCCGTTGGTTCTGTGAACAAGGCGACAGTCTGGTTGGACAGAATATGTAACAGAATGTACCTTCGGGTTTTCTGCTCACTGTGCAAGAGATAAAACGGATTATAATTAAATGGCCAAAACAATTTGAACATTGTGAGTAATTTGAGGCGGTTGTTGAGAAGACGATCTTTCAATACAATGATATTGAGAATGGGTTAATCGAGCGACTGACACTCTGAGAAATTGAGCCACACAACAGGTACAAACCCTATACTTGGGAGCCAGGGAAAAGCATCTGAGGTTCCGTTGAAACTGAACGCAAATTTATCGCGAATCTGCCTTGTTACGTCCCCCAGATGGTTCGCGGATCACCCCTATCCCTCCACGGTCTATGGATGCTTGCGCCAGAACTCAAGCGCAAGTTCACTACAGATCTCACCTTATTCCAACTCGGTCCAAAAGCTTAGTACTCACCTCAGATGAATTAGTAGGTTATTTACTGAGTGCTCAAGCGTGATCCTCTCCCTAATAAGGCAATCTCTCAATCAGTCCATCAGGCAAGATTCGTCCCCAACCTGAAAAGCGGCCTGCCTACACATAAAAGGGATGCACGCGTTTGCCTCAAAGTTATATATTTCTGTTGCCAACACTATGGAGCCAGTCGAAGGTCAGGGAAGCCCCCCTAAAGTCCTTGACAGACTCTTCAAAACTACAAAAACTTCCACTATCCCCCATCTCACAGAACTTCGCAAGGCCCTTGGCTACGGCAACCCAGGCCAGGAACAGGACATCGCCTTTAAAAGGGCTATCAGAGCCCAGATCGAGTCCTTTGTATCTCCTAGCACCAAACTACCTGCATACAAACTCACCAAGTGGAGGTTGCCTCTTCACCAAAGAGGGCTCCAAGAGGTCACCAAAGACTTTCTCGATACCAAGGGAAAGGGGCCTGAGTTCTGGCCTGCGAGGGATAACTCTGTTAATACAAGGTGTCTCGAGTATTCTAAAGACTCTTCTCGGTGAGTGCTTAGACCCAGATGGACTAAACATACAGCATTCACCAGACATGAGCTATCACTGACTCAAACAGGATACGTCGTCTCATGATCAAAGTATTTTGGCGTGCAGCCCGAGAGTACAAACGAAACAAGCCCTCAACTTCTACCACTACCAAGCTGCCATCACAGCCCGGCAATAGAGACACTTCACCATTAAAGCCCCCGGACACACCGAGCGACGACAAACACCAAGTCCTCAACAACTCGCATATTCTCAAAGGCCAGAGTATCGACAACCCTATAGATGTTGAGAGCATGCAATCCAGAACCAACACATCAGGGCCGTCCACGTAAGAACATCTCCACCGCCTCAGAAGTACGGCTTTCTGACATGGTCCCAAGAGACGATCACTTTACAAGCCTTATGACTTTCAATTTATATCTTCCCCAACAACGACGGGAGACGCCAGAGGAGAGCTCGAGCTCTGAGCCCTTTTCGTCTTCTCAATTATTCCCTTACACAGAGGGAACTATGATGCCTATTCGCGAAGAAGCAGAGAGTGCGTCTGGGACAGACCTGTACGAAGTGCCTCTAAGCCCTCCAAGGGCCACTGAAAGTGTTGGTGTCTTCTATCATGTTCATCTTATCGAGACTAAATCTTTTCATAGGCACAGCTTAATGGCAAGCGCCCGGTCGAGCCAGACTCCAATGACAGCAGCCGTCAGGCCAAAGTCCTGAGACAAGACCCGAGCACGTCTGCGAAATCGATACCCCAGCCTCCAAAGAGCACTCGAGGTGGTAGAAAGACACAGAGTCTCCCTCCCCTCCGAAGCTCTCAACGGAAGAGAAAGCAAGTTCATCAACCGGGGGCTGCTACAGAAGAACAGATTCAAGCTGCTGAACATCCAACCCCTTCACCTCCCCCAGCTGTAGTTGGACCTCAGCATGGGAGTATTGCGAGCCAGAGCGAACAGCCCTCAACCACCGCTAATGATTCCACCCCAAGAACTTCAGCTGGGGGGACACAAGGCCAGTCTCCAAACGAAGCTATCAGAGCAGAGTTGGCCCGCCAGGCTGAAAGGCAGACTACAGAGGCAGCCATAGCAGCGGGTGTAGACCGACAACTAGATGCCCGCGGCACGTCTACCACTGGCCTCTCCGCCAAAGCTCAAGGAAAGCTACCTGAGGTGCCGGTCAGGCAGAGCCCAACGGTCCAAGCTGGGCCAAGTCGGGAGCGGGAGCGGGAGCGGGAGCGGGAGGCGGAGTCTACAGCGAGACCAGAGGCCAGTACAGCGAGACAACCAGGCGGCCTCTCTGGGAACCTGGAGCCTGAAGACACACAGCGACAAGTACCGAATGGACATGAAATAGCCATCGTCATCAGATCCGATATCGCTAATGGCGTCGACTTTATGTCCTGGAAACCGTCATCTTTCTTGTTCGACATGTCTCTTGCGGCTGTGGCTGGCGAGTTGGGGTTGAGGCACGGCCGAACCCTTCACATGTCTCTTAGAGGCCGATTGTCCAACTTGTGTGAAAAATTCGAGGATGGCGACGAAGACGGATTTGAATCCTTCAAAGATGAGTGCCTGGGAGTTATTATGCAGCGACATTCTGGGGCTGCATCTACTCCAGTATTGCAGAGACAACAGTTTAGGATTTACTTTTCGGATAAGCCCATTTCTATCTGAAGTGGCCTGTACAGTGTATTAGCATGGATGGATGGGTTGGGTGCGAATTCGTCTTCTTTCTTTCTTTCTTTCTGTGTGTTCACATGGTATTGTATTTTTATTCTTGGGAAATTGGCGGATTAACGCCTTTTAATGGGTAAAGGGGTATGAACGTGTCAACAGTCCTTATCAAGTACCAGACTTTTGTAATAACAGATTTGTACGAATATAGCACCTTTAGTTTAGAGCAGCTGATAGAAAACTCTTTTGGGCTACGAGATTGATTGATTGATTGATTGATTTGAAGCTATCAACTTACTCGCCACTCGGTGAGATAGATCTTCGGCGACTCGGTAAAAATAACACATTAGCTTTTTCCCCTCTAGGTAGAATAGACTCTATTGCCTTCGGATCCATGAGACCTGGGAAGGAATGTAGTTGTAGGTATGTGTGTATGTGTGTATGTACAAGGTACCCAAGCACGCGTGGGACAGCCACCAAGATCAAATCAGAACGACGCAGTCTTGTTTTTGGCGCGTTAAGTTAGTAGTTATGCGCTCGAAAGTCTGTAAAATGTTTGATACTGTGGAAAGCGTGGCGAACAGTGAAACGGGTGGTTACGCAATGCAAGCAGCCGTAGGTAGTCCCACAGGAGTAGATGGGCCTCTTGAGGGGCAGAAACAGGGAAATCGCTTTGGATTTGCTTTTCGTTGTGGGAGAGAAGAGAAAACTACGGAGGTACGGGAAATTGTGGCTGCAGAGATAAGAGCAGACGGGCAGTGAAGGGCAAGGCTGCTCTAGAGGTAGCGTCTGTAAACAATGGGTACCTAGGTTACATAATATTACACAATGTAATGTTTACTCATGATACGGAACATGTAACAATGGGATTGGGATTGGATCAAAAGTCTAATTGAAAACGGTATCAATCACCCGGTAAGAAGTCGGAAACTCTTATTACATCCGCCCGTCGCCTGATCCGCGTCGCGCGCGACACACCATCAGGTGTAATAAGCGAGACATCAGCCGCCAACAACCAGCATCACAGCGCGTCCAGTGCATGGCTAGTGTAATATTTTGCTGGCCCCGGCATTACGGAGTATGTACATGTGCCAGCCATGGCCCGCCGATCTGACTGTCGGTGGCCGTCATGGTGTGGAAAGTTACCATGCCTCCACTGTAATATTCCCTAAAGACCCATGCTCCTTTTCTCTGAGGCTCTGACAGGGGTGTCGGAAACCTGGGGTTCGCAGAGCATCCAATCTAACTAAATAACCTAACCCCCCGTTCTGCCGTCCCATTCTTTTCATTAGCTAAATAATCCTGCTCTGCAAATCCCTGAATTGTCCTCTACGTGACTACGTGCCTACATACATACGTCCTGATCATGACCTCAAAGAAGAAAGGTACCGCGCGTCGGACCGGGCCATTGCATTTTTCCTCTCGCACGAGAACTACCAAGGACGTGCCTCCGATCAAGAAACTGCTCGGCGACCTTGGGCTTGGCGATGATGCTGATAAGCAGCTACTCAATGAGTTCAACACTGCTCGTAAAATTTACATGAACCGCTTCTTGGACGAAAAGATCCTCGATGACAAAGACATATTGGAGTGGGCCGACGAGCAATGCAGGCAAAAGCTTCGCAGGCTGGCCAAAAACTTCCTTGTCAGACAGAATCATGGCCCTCATTTCTGGCCCGATGAGGTTTCTCCTGCAAACGCAAAGAACTACCGTTATCCACAGGATTCCCAACAGTCAGTCTAATCTCCTCTCATTGTTTCTGACGCGTCTCGGATGGATGGATGAGTGGCTGACAGTCGGCCTATACCTGTCCTGTATAGGCTCATCAAAACATTGACAATGCTGTTTTTTCGACAGCTATACAACAGAAGATCACACAATATAAAGGTCCGCAAAGACAAGAGGCGTACCAATCTCTTCGAACGAGGTGATGCGCCTGACGAGCCTATTGCCCTTGATCTGTCCAGCGATGAGTCTGATTACGAATACCAAATCTATGAAGCCCCAGAATCACCCATGTCTGGTGACTCTGTCCTCCTCAAGAGGTGAGCTACTGGCATCTACAAATGTGGTAGTTGTATTTGCTAACATGGTGACTTCAGAGAGCCTGCTGATTCTCCGGATTTACCTTCAATTGAGGAGATAAGACGTACAGTCCAGACTCACACTATGCCCTCAGATACGGTCACGTCGTTACCTAGTGCTGTTCAAAATGAGAATGTGAACCCTGAGACAGCTGATGAGCCTGGCCAACCCTCAAGAACAAGCGTAAGAATTCTCTTGGTCAATGCTGGTACCACTCTACTAACACTGAAAAGCCTGTGCGGGCAACAAAAAGGCCTCTGTTGGAATCAGACGCGTCGTCGCTGCGTGCAAAAAGCCCGCGTCTCAACGGTTTCCGTGCACCCACAGCCGATCCGTTCTCTCGAGATGCTAATGTTCGGCTCGAATCAGTCGCTCGAGCAGTTTCCCCCAGGCAAGACCTTCGAAGGTCAAGTCGAAAATCAGTTCCTGCGCCCGTTGCCTCCATGATCGAAGGGTCAGGGACAAATGTCACTCAGGAGCTACCACCAGAAGCAGAGAGGAACAGCACAGATGAGATCGTCTGTGGGTTCAAAACTGCGATACGAGAAGTTCAGCCTACTGGAGAGGATAGCAGTAGCAGTGCTCGCATTTCTGAAGATGAAACAGAAACGACAGCTACAGACCAGCCTGTAAAGCTTGGATCTACTCCACTCTCTCAAAAGGAGACTCCTGCCACGTCTGATCCAGACATTGAAGAGCTCAGCAGTAGCTACTATGATACAGCTGCGGCCCGGCGGTTACTGAGCTCGCATCTCCGTGGGCACGCTACAAATACTCCCACCCCTCTCCAATTCTCTTTTTCCTTTCACGATGGTAGCCATGGCGACCCCTTCAGCATTTCAGCGATCGAATTCTTCACAATGACTCTCAGACAATTTATGGACGTTCTGCCCTTGAATGATAAGGAAATGATAATAGGGCTATGCATACGCCAATACGGGCCCAAATTCTGTCTCCGGCAAGTGTATCTATACAACGAGGCTGTTTTTGGCAACATTCGTCAGCAGTTTCTCCGTTGTATTGAGAGCGATACACGGGATGTGAAAAACCACGGGAAGAGGCTGGACTATGAGATTAGTATTGAGCCGCTGAGAGATTTTCCGTAAGAGATGGATCAGTGAGTTGAGGAAACAAATTTACAAGTCACAAATCTCCGGCGTCGACTTCGAAACTCATCAATAACGACACGAGTCCCCGAGATATTAGCAACATGCTCCATGACGCCCTGACGCCGCGTTGAAGATACCAGAGCTTGAAATGTTGGAATATATGGAGCGGCAGACGAGGCGTGGCGGTGCTCTTGCGCTACCAGAGAAATGGGGATGATGAGTTGGTCATCATCGCGTCGTCGGGAGCATTTGAATTCATTTTTGGGATTCCGTCGCCTGTCGCGCGGCCTGAATAAGATCGCGATACAGGCCTTTTGAGCTGGTCAAGATGCGATTGGAACCTACGGTGATATAATCTACCAGTTGGGGATTTCGACCGAAGCCACCACAACAAATCTCTCACCAGGATAGACGTGCTTCAGCACATTCACCGTCAAGAGCAGGGAAATTATGGGCATTCGGTGCCGGAACAATCATGGGCCGTAACACAGTCATGAGTTCAAATGATATTATTGTTATTATGCTAGAGAGTATACATTTGGTGTAATCATTTTATCAGTGTCCAGCTGTCTCAGTCTATCTCTTTAGGGCACCATAACAAGGCAATCAGCCGTGGTAAGGGAACTTATGAACTTAATAATAAGAAACGAAACGATTTGGATAAATCCTTGATGCCTAACTTTTGGCTACATGCATGCCTCTGTTATTATTGGATATGGCGCCTTGACTCGGCCTCTGAGATGTTTGTTTTTGCCCCCCAAGGGCTGCTCGATTATGGCAATGACTCTTTCGTGGTATGAACAGTTTGCGTGGCCTTCTTTCCTTGACAAAACCTTTGAAGCTCTCCTCAAGGTGATAGTAGCACCTCCCAAAAGACCAACTTGCCTTTGTTATTTTGAGATGCCTCTTCAGGTAGGTACACCTGACCCATACCGAAGCTTCTCTAGGTATTCATCGTTTCTGAGTTCCTACCCAATCTTCACCCTTCCATCCATCACAAGACAACATCTTCAATACAATCAATCACTATCAGTACGGCTACTTTCTTTAATCATCATAAAGCACTCTTCAGAAGACACAGAGATTAAGCGCATATTCTCGAGACACCATCGCCACGACAGTTTCAATACAAGCACCACCGCGAAACCATGGCAAGTTCCTCTGACCCAAACCGAACCTCCTCCAAGAGAAGCAGATGCTGTCCTTTTATTTCCCCATTCTCGAATAGCTCCCCCAAGAGCATCCCTCTCCAACAGGTATATACCGTGGGAGAATCTAATGCAGTCAGGAGCCGTGGCATTGACCCAACTGTATGCCCAGAGCATTGGGCAATTGTCATTTTGTTTCGTTGAGTACTAACGTATCTATTAGCAGTCAGAAAACAGTCCAAAAGACCTCGACGGGTCTGGCGGCCACGATCAGTCATCGTCATTGCCTCGCAGTAGCACTGAAGAGGCACCCAACATGGCTTTGGATAAAACAATCAAGAAGGACGATCCAGCGCCAGATCACGCCAGTTCTTCACCCATACACCCGCAGATTTCGGAAAACAAACCTCAATTTCAGCTTGTTATCACGCGTCATAAGATATCTTCAAAGAGTGACCATGCCCACAGTCAAGTGCATCCTATCTCTTCTTCGGTCGACGCTTCGAACAACAATGCAGAACCACCAAAGATCCCAGGGCAGTCAACATCGACTTCTCAGGTTGATCAGTCGAAATTGAATAATCCTCAGATCACAGAGGATATGAGAATTCAAGATACCCAGTCAGGCGAAGGGAGAAGGCCTGATGCACCTATACCAGATTCCTTACCAGATGAAGAACCATATTCTTCTTACCTAAACGAAGAGGATTATGGCAGAGAAGAAGATTACGACTCAGAGCAAGACTACGACTCAAAGCAAGACTACGACCAAGAACAAGATCACGGCAAAGAACAAAATCACAGCCAAGATTCAACTTCCAGTGACCCCTTGACCTCTGACCCTACTGGCACAATACTTCAATCTGGCCGCCTGGTCGCTATCGACTTCACAGTCTACCGCACCGAGTAGAACTCGAGTTATGAATGGTGTCCAGCACGAAGCTTCTTTCGCATGTCACTTGCAGATATTATAGAAGACATAAATTTCGAAAAAGATAGCGGCATAACTATCTCCCTCGAGTGTACTGTTGGGAGACAAGATCTGGCATATAGACGGAAAGCTCGTACTGAAGAGAGGTTTCAGGTGTTACAGCAGAGGTTTAAACGTCTTATTGACACATTGATAGACAGCACTCCACCAAACAAGAATAAAGATCCAACTTTCGAGATTATCATCGAAAGTCTTGGTCCAAGACGTTGGAGCTCTTAGATTGATGTGTGATCTTCGGACAATCCTGGACTCTGGAGAGCTTGAGTTTGGAGGCAGCTGCCAGTATCTTAGTTGGAGCGTGGGCATTGATTGTTTTGACACCAAGGTATCAAGAAGCTACATAGTGGGTAAAAAAAGCGTTGTTTGTCACACGACAAAAGCCTTGTTATTCACCTCATGTTGCGTGCAGTGAGAGACTCAACCGAATGAAAGACAGAAGATTTGATATTTGATGTGCAAGCAACCTGTTGTTCATATTTATGATGTAGCTCCCTTAGGCACGAATCACTAACCAACCAATACTCCTTTCATCAATTAACGCCAGTCCATTTCATGCAATCATCCATATCATCAAACCGTTCAACCAGCAAACATACTAGTAAGCTCCCAATCGCCACTAGCAAGTTGCCTCCAGGAGCTCGAACATGTGGCTTGGATGGTCTGCATACCAAAGTTACCATCTCCCTGGTCAAGTTGGCGGAAGAGGATGAGCTTGTAGCCAATGGCAGCAGCCATGAGACCAATCTCGACGGGTTGAGGGTCGTGCATCTTGTAGGCGAGCCACTCCTCACAGTGCTTGATCTCTTCCTCTAGAGAAGGATCAGAGTCAGCGGTTCGGGGGACAGGGTCGCCGAAGAGGAAGCGGTTCGACATGACGGCGTCCTTGGCGATGTACTTAAGGGCAGTCTTGGGCTTATCGCAGAGGGCACGCCAGAGAAGAGTCTCCATCTCCTTGACGGCGGAGAGGTTACGGCCCTTGATGGTCTTCAGGTTCTCCTCATCTGACTCCTCATCTGCGTCGTGCTCCTTTTGCTTGCCACCGCCATTGAAGAAGTCGGAGCCTTCGATGCCGGACACAATGCTGCCATTTTGTTGGCGCGGGGCAAGTTCCATGCCTCTTTGGCTGGAGGGACCACCGAATTTGCTTTCTTCCGCGTTAAGCCCATGAGGCGAGCGATCGTTGGTGAGACCAAGCATAGTCGGCATGATGGCGGTTGTCTGTGTTGCGTTGAATGGAGAGATATGTACTGTACTTAAGTAGGTAGTCTGAAGATCTGACTGATCTGCCTTTAGATGCAAGAGTGACAATGCAGGGCAGAATGAAGATGGGGAATGCAAGACATAAAATACAGAGAAACAGAAGCAGAAATACCAAGTTTCATGTATTTTCCATGCTTGCGAGCTCCAAATCCTGATTGCTGGCTATCCTGGCAGCCAGAGTGACGTCAACCTTGGGATGCATCATGCTCATGCGTGCAGCAAAAAGTTGGATAAGATTATGACGGAGATCGACACTAATAGAACATGTTTTACTGTACAGACCAAGAGTTTCATTGGATGAGATGACCCCCAATAATGGATCATCCTTGGAGCGTTCCTGATGCTCAAAAAGTGTGCAGTTGCTAACAGCCAAGGGGATGTAATAAAACTTGAGACCTCTATTCTAGGTGACAAAAAGCCTTGGGTAAATTTAGATTAATTTAGTATAATTTAGTAGAGATATAGAAGATCTTAGACCAAGTTTCTTTAACACCTCAGTGTAACGTCAGAAGTCTTCTTACACCCTGAGGACAGCTTCCCATCGATCTCGGGTCGGGGATTTACTGAACCATCCATAGCATAGCGCCCACTAACACTAACCAACGGTGCCTGTAACCTTAGCAGATCTCAACGGTTGTGGCGGTGCTTATACACCAGCCACATCCTGTTCACCCACCCCCACTATCCGCAATGATTTCCGTCAAACCAACATGGATGGGTCCACTAAAATTTCTGAATGCAATTCTCAGTTGCTAGCACTTTTTTTCATATTGGATCTCTAGCCCAAGCTCGCTGCTCAACCACGCGTTATAGCGCATTCTCTTACTTCATAATGGATATCCTCAAGGTTCTATCCCGTGGAACCAAAAAGACACAAAAGAACAGCCAAAACTCCAGCAATTCTCTGCAGAAGCTGCCCTCGGCTGGCACATCTACAAACCCTCAGCTCTACCATGATCAGGTCCGCGGCCAGAAGCGAAAGCGAACAAAGAATGAGCCCGAACCCGAAGCTCACGATGAGCTCCCCGAAGTCGACTTCTTTGCCCCCAAGCCAGAGCCTGTAGCCAAGGCAGTCGTTGAGACGGAGGAGCCCGTTCAAGTACCGAAACCTACACGGCCTTCTCGATTGTTGAGTGAGGACGAGTGTCGCCAGCTGCTACGATCGCATCGATTAAAGATTGCTCTCCTCTCCAAGACAGAGGATCAATCCAAGGTCAAGAAGAGCAAGAAAAAGAAGAAGGCGGCTGTTGAAGTGAAGAAAGACGGAAAGAAGCAGCTCTTCCCACAACCTTTGGACTCCTTTGGCGAGCTGCGCAATGCCTACGGCCTCTCAAATAAGGTCGCAGACAACCTTGTATTCCAGGGATACCGAGTTCCTACTGAAGTTCAGATGGGCAGTCTTCCTCTTCTCGTACACCCCCAGGCTGCCCTGAAAGACGAAGATGGACTAGAAGCAGGAGTCGATTTCCTCGCAATCGCCCCAACAGGAAGCGGAAAGACCATTAGTTTCTTGGTTCCCGCTATCAACAATATCCTGCGCAGGCGCTCGCAGCAAAGCCTCGGCGATATTCACGAACTCGAGGCGATCATTGTTGCACCAACTCGCGAACTGGTGCACCAGATTGTTAGCGAAGGACAAAAGCTTGCTCAAGGAACTCGACTGAAGGTCGTTTCGATGAAGAAGCACACACAACTTTCAGCCGAGCAAGTGGATATGACAGAAGATGGCTCTGAGGATGAAGAGGACAAGGAGTCAGATTCTGAGGATGAAGATGAGAACAAGGCAGACGACAAGCCCAAGCAAATCACAAAGGCTGATATTCTGGTCACCACACCCTTCCTCCTACTCAAGTTTCTTACTTCAGGACCTCCAAGCACACAAAAGGTTCTGCCTACTGTGAGAGACTTGATATTGGATGAGGCGGACGTTTTGCTTGATCCTCTTTTCCGAGATGCTATGATGTCTGACTGGACAGCATGTACAAATCCCGACCTGAGGGTGTCATTTTGGTCTGCTACAATGGGCTCAAACATTGAGTCTATGGTTACGGAGAAGTTGGCTTCAAGAGCACAGTCGCTGGGCATTACACCGAAGCCCTTTGTGCGACTAGTCGTCGGTCTCAAGGATACTGCTGTTCCAAACATTGCCCACAAGCTTATCTACACTGCAACTGAGCAAGGTAAGCTACTGGCATTGCGCCAGCTGCTGCACCCTACGGCTGCTGATGACTCGGGCCCTCCTCTGCGGCCCCCCTTCTTGGTCTTTACGCAAACAATTGACCGAGCAACTGCTCTATATGAGGAACTGCAATACGATATTCCTCTAGAGGCTGGTGGGTCAGCAAGAATTGCTGCCCTTCACAGTGGTCTCACAGACTCTGCTCGATCTTCCATCATGCGCAAGTTCCGTGCTGGAGACATCTGGGTTCTGATCACAACAGATGTGTTGGCACGAGGTGTAGACTTTGCCGGTGTTAATGGTGTCGTCAACTACGATGTCCCCGGCTCCAGCGCGGGCTATGTCCACCGCGCAGGACGAACCGGCCGAGCAGGTCGCGAAGGTGGCGTGGCGGTCACATTCTACACCAAGGAGGACATCCCCTTCGTCAAGATGGTGGCCAATGTTATCGCTGCAAGCGAGAAGCAGGCTGGCAAAACAGGAGATGAGGCTGGGGTGCAGAAGTGGCTCCTAGATGCCCTCCCTAATGTCGGCAAGGCAGACCGCAAGAAGCTCAAGGAGCGAGGTGTGGAAGCGCGCCGGAGTGGAAATAAGGCCAAGATCACGTCCAAGAGTGGGTATGAGAGACGAAAGGAGAACAACCGCCGCGGTGCTATTGAGGGTAGCAAGAAGAGGAAATTACAAGCGAACGAGGACAGTGGTGATGATGGTGAATGGGGTGGTTTCGATGACTAGGGAATGCATCACTGTGATCTGGAAAGGTTTGCATGTGTGGAAAAGCATGGTTACTTGGGAATACGGATGCACGGCGATGAAATCTGAAGATCTGAAGATGATAAAAGCAGGAAAGCTTGGACTTGCGAGTCGAGTCCTAAGTTAGTTCCGCATCAGGCATAAGATGTCTCAAAATAATGTGATATAGAGAAGAATTCTCATGGAGCTCCCGCCTTTCTCATGAATGTGTTGACGGAAATGTGAAATCTCGTGACTAAAAAAAAGATCGAAATATACAGCATAGGGCATTGACTTTCTAAGTACTCCGTATTGATGAGTTGTTTACTCCGTAGCATAGATAGTCGTGGCTGAACTGAGGCCATACAGACCCAATAAGATGCGATTCAACAACGAATTCTTATCAGCTAGGGCTCAAACTAATTGCTTTTGGTCCAACAAAGAACTGTCTCTATACACTTTGTTGTATCTCAATAATTGTATCAGAATGAGTGACTGACTGAGTGACTGACTGACGTCTTTCAGCATTGTTCAGTGAGATAGTGATATGCTCATCTCCACTATTTAAATGTGACATTAATATTTGAGGGGGCTGGAAATGTACTAACATAGGTAGGCTGATAGGTTAAAAGAGTATCTCGAGTCAAGCAGCACGTGGACATTCCAGAGAGCGACTCTTCCTCGTAACAAAGGCATTCTCATGCTCTTCATTGTTCCTGGTGACGATTACGATACGAGTCAAAAATAAAATAAATTAGGGGACACGCCAAGGAAAGCCAAGACTAGACAAGCGTTGGCCTTTTCTTGGTGTTGCAGGGGAACTGACCACACCCACTTTCTACTACTTACTACATAGGACCAGCCTCTTTTGTTTCGACTAATGTTGATCGTTTGTTAGTTGAGCTGATGCTGGCCACGTAGTCGTTGTAGTTGCTGTGACTTGGCTGAGTGATATTCGTTGATATTCATGAGGCCCATCACTTGTATAACATAGACTAACAGTCACTCATCATGCGTCAGAACAACAAATACTAAGTTATCTGGGGAATGCAATCTTATATGGCGTCTCGGCGTCTAATCAAGCATCTTGGCCCCCAGCCTAAAACAAGGGACGGGCCCAAAGCCAAGACCACTGCGCCATCATCCACACGCCAAAGCGTGGCTCTTTGTGATGCCCTCAACTTCCCAAAGCAGCATGGCCAGGCCGTTCCCTTTATTAACCACTCTCAATAAGTCATTTGACGCTTGTAATTGGCCGAGGCTCTACAGTCCCCTCGTAGCCTGAAACAAATACACCACCCAACCTATCTTGGCCGTCTTTATTACTCCGTACATACACTATACGCTTGCTAGCCAGGCTTGGTGGTGCCAGGAACAGAATTGAGATCTGCTGCCCAGATTTTAGTTACCCCCCTTGAGTCCTGCAGCAGCCGCCGCAGTGTCCCTAAAGTAATAGTTGTGTTATTTGGATCCTCTTTAATATCGCCCATCTCCCCGCTGAAGGATGGGAATCCTCCCCATCCTTCGAGTTCCTCCTAGAGGTTGGTCCTGAAACATATCAGTCGTGCATTTTCGGCATTTCTTGCTTTTTTGAACTATACACTCCTTTATCTTTACTTCTAGTCACTCATTATAACCTGTTGTCTTTCGAGTCTACTCTTTGAAGACATTCACCGAAACACTCCTTGCAGTTGTCGATATCGACGATCTCAGCGACTCCAGAATAGGTCTCCAAATATCTATAGTCACTCGGACTGAATAGATTAAAGACTTGAAACCATGAAGGTCACTAATCTTTCCATTCTGGCTTACACGGGCCTCGCCACAGCCCTCACACAACAATGCTCTGGCAGCGCCGTCAACGAAGGCGGAAACTGGTTCTGCGGTGTTATTGATCAGATTCTCTATGAGGGATTCTCCAGCAGCGGAAATTTCAAGGCTGTTACAAAGATGGGAGACGATGGATCTTGTGATCAGGAGCCCTTTTCTTACGACGGCGCTCTTGGACCTCTGAGTGAGGATGTAAGTTGACCGTCACTCAGCTATTTCACAGTATAAACTCACAAAACATAGCTGTCTGTCCACATTCGAGGCCCCTTCAACCTCAAGGAGTTTGCAGTCTACAACCTCGGCTCCAGCGAGAAGAAGCGTGACTCTGCTCCCTCTCCTCACCTCCACGGCCATCGTCATTTCCACGAACAGCGCAAGAAGAAGCGTGGGGACTGGGTCACTGCCACCATCAACGGACAAGTCGTATCCTGGGAGAACACTTACAACGGAAGCCCTGCTACCCAGGCTGCTCCTGTTGCTATCCCTGCTGCCCCTACCGACTCTGTGAATGTTGTCAATGAGAAGAAGCCCCTGGACAAGATCAAGAGCAAGGTTGAAAATGTAAAGAGCAAGGTGAACCAGGTCAAGAGCAAGGCTCCCTCAAAGGCAAAGGAGTACACTGCTACTCCCGGCGGACACTGGAAGCGTACTTCTTACTACAACGCTCAGCGACGTGTTGCTGATAATGTTATCTTCATGGGCAACTATGGTGGTGAGGGCTCTGGAGTCTTTGACAAGTGAGTCACTATACATATCTCAACACACCTTGATACTGATCAAGTATAGCACCTGGGGGAACTCTCTCTCTTACCTCAACGCCAACGGAAACGGTGGCTCCTCTTCTCCCAAGATCCTGAAGGACGTCTTCATCCCTTCCAACAAAGAATTCGCCATCTTCAGCTCTGAGAAGTGTGACGAGAGCTGCGGTTACTCTCGTGTCCCTGATGTTGCCTACAGTATGCCATCTCCTCCTCCCCCTCAACCTAAACATAACACTCACTAACCCCCCTTACAGAGGGCTTCTCCGGCTCAAACAAGATCTTCCTCTTCAACTTCAAGATGCCCTTCGATGGCAACACCGGCTTCAACGGCGACATGCCCGCCCTCTGGGCTCTCAACGGCCGCATTCCCCGAACTGGCCAATACAGCGGATGCAGCTGCTGGAAGACAGGCTGTGGTGAGGTCGACATCTACGAGGTCCTCGCTACTGGCGATGATAAGTGCAAGAGTACATTCCACTTGACGAACGGCGCTGGAAGCTCTGATTACTTCATGCGTCCTGCCGACAAGTACATCAAGGTTGCTGTTGTGTTCTGTGAGCGTACGTCGAGCGTTGCCATCAAGCAGTTGGATGATAGCTTTGATTTTGGATCGTCTTTGAGCGATGAGACTGTGAAGGACTGGATTAAGACCATGTCTTCCCCTAAGAAGGGAAGCAGCCTGTTCCAGCTGTCTGTGTCTGTGTAAAGGTGAGACCTGAGTTGGATCTGTTTGCTGTTTGTTTGATTTGAATATCTTGATACCTCTTCTTTTGTACATATATATTAAGATACCAGTTGAGAATTGTTCCATAACTGGTCCACCATAAACCCACTTGTGTTGTCATCTTATCATTCTTTGCCTACCTTAGTCTAGATACTCTGCATGAACACCATGTATCATCTATTGTTCTATACAGCTCTCTAGGGTATAGCCATTGTTACACTATTATACAGTTCCATCATTCATACATCATCGCGATGATTAGAGTCTACTGATAGTACATCCGCTCCAGAATTGGTTATGAGCTTTCAGAGGTCGACTGCTTGTCTTCGAGCTTCTTATCTTCTTCGGAGCTTGTCTTGTTCTCTTCTCCTGCCGAAAGTCCAACGACATTTCTTAGCGTACCAAAGCTTAGACAATCGCTGATGCGGTTGGCACCAGAAAACAGCATGACCATACGCTCGACACCACATCCCCAGCCGCCAGTAGGGGGCAGGCCATAGTCGAGAGCCTTGACATAACTTTGATCGAGGGGAGCAGCGTCGCCGTCCTCATCTTCAAAAGGCTCATCCAGAGCTTCCTCGACAGCTGCTGCGCCTTCAGGCGTCTCGTTATGTTCAATGGCAATGCTACCGTCATCCTTGTTGACGAGGTGTCGGTGGTCGAGTAGCTTACGCTTCTGCTCTTCGGGGTCGTTTTCCTCTTCGTACATGTTTGCCAACTCACGGCCACCAATGAAGAGTTCTGCACGGGCGGATATTAACTGATAGGTTTGTGGGCAGAGGAAGCTCTTCGCAAGAGGTGACATGCAGGCGGGATGATTCATGATAAGGATAGGCTCCGTGAATGACATCGGTTCCAGGTAAACGGCAGCCAGACGATCAAGCAGTTTGGCCAGCGAGGTAGGCACATCACCTGGCACCTTGATGCCAGCAAGCTTTAGGATAGCCAGGAGTTCGGGTAGAGCATCTGGAGATGAGAGTTTGGGCAGACGAAGCCCGAGGGCCTCTTGAAGTGCGGGAACGAACTCGACCCGTTTAAAAGGTCGCACAAACTGTTTCATGTCGATGGAAGGCAGAGATGTGAGTTGGGTAGAGATGAGATCCTGGGAGTGTTGGGCAAGGCTGCAGAGAATCTCTTCGGTCTGGTTGATCAAGTCCTCCAGGTTACTGTAGGCGCTGTAGAACTCACACATAGTAAACTCAGGGTTGTGTGTCGCGTCAACACCCTCGTTACGGAACGAAGGTCCAATCTCAAAGACCTTGTCGACGCCTCCAATAACGAGACGTTTGAGCCATAATTCTGGGGCGATGCGCAAGGCAAGGTCTTTATCCTTGAACTCAGTGGCTCTCGTAACAAAAGGGCGGGCCACCGCACCACCAGCGTTTTCAGCGAGAATCGGTGTCTGGAACTCGAGGAATTTCCTTGAGTGAAAGTAATCACGCATGTGCTTGGTGATCTCGGCGCGCAGTCGGAGGACATCAATTGCTTGTCGGTTCACCAACATATCAACATGACGTTCTTGCATTCTGGTCTTGGGATCCGTAAGTTTCTCTGGGATCTGCTCCATGGTAGGAGACAGAAGTTCAGGTAGATTCTTGGCCTCCAAGGTGAGTTCGCCGGCTTTAGTAAGAACCGGTATACCAACGACAGCTGCCAGGCTGTAAGCATCTGGGATATAACAGGATAAGCATTAGGGATCCTACATATGTGGTCGCCCACTTCTATCAAATTTCTCAACAATGCGAACTTTAAACCCCTTGCCTCCTCTTCTACCATGCACTTTGACCGGTTGAGCATGATCTGTAGACGCGCAAATTCATTCACGATATCGAGAAAGATAAGATTCTTTCCGACGACGCGCTTGGAGCGAACCCGGCCACAAACGCTGATGTCCTTGGATTCATCAAGGGCATCTCGGAAAGCTTCATGAAACTCAGGTATCGTCATGCGCTCTGCACGATGAATGAGGCGAGGGTGTGTCTCTTCGAATAGAGGATCCTCACTCTCTTTCTCCGCCCAGAGCTCAGTTCGGCGCTGTTGCTTGAAAGACGAGTATCCCTCCAGGCCATCTTGGCTCCTGACCGCCGAAGTAGCTAGGGACCTCCCATATGCAGCTCTTGATGGGCCCCGTAATGTCCTTGAGGAACTGCCACAGCTGAGTGCATGTGAGCAACGAGTACTTGAGGCTTGGGAGATCGACTGTATTAAAGGCCGACTGGCCTGTCGCAAGTATCGTACAGACATCATGGCTTCTATCAATTAGGTTAGCAATGCTTCATAAACTCATTGCTGAAACATGATATAAAGAAAGCGTTGCACTAGAGTCAGAAAATTGGCAGTTTAAATCAACCACAGCAAGCCGTGTCAATCGCAGCGGTTCTGAAGCGAGTATGCGAATTCATCATTTAGGCAAAGGGAAGAGAGATAATTGAGAGGAATATGCGTGCGTACTTACAATCATGATGGTAACATGGAACTCTCGCTCCATGTATGAAGAAAAAAAGAAAGTGATTTGGAGCCGATCTTCGAAAATTTAAAAAGAGCCGGTTCGCCGAAAATAATCCGGCTACCTTTGGTGGAGCCATGACCGCCACACCGCAGCCTGACAATATGTGGCGTCGTCTATGTATGTTTGCCTTACCTACCAACCACTCAAGGCTGAAATTTGTTCCAACGCGAACATCCATCAATCGCTTGGTCTGGCGCAACTCCACCAATTCCGCGATACTTTTGCGCCGGATCGTTCAATCCACCCTCACCATCTCCGAATAGCGAATATCATCCATAAAGCATCAACAATGGCTCAACAGCCCCTTCCCACGTCTATGCAGCCCACTGACATCTATGGAGGAGGTACGCGCAGCTCTAGCTCCCCATGTCGCGTCAGCCCGCCAAAGATCTCCACTAACATATGTTTATATAGATGAGGTTTCTGCCCTCGTTCTCGATCCTGGATACTGCTACACTCGAGCTGGCTTCGCTGGCGAAGATGTTCCCAAATCTATCCTCCCATCGTTTTACGGCCACACAACCGGCGACAACCCTAAAGATCTGTTTGGCGATGAGTGCCTCATCCCTCGCCCCGACTTCGAAGTCCGCAACTACATGAATAAGGATAGCGTGGTGGAGGACTGGGATGTTGCGGCTCGAATTTGGGAGAACATGCTTGTTAAGCGCTTACAACCCGAGCGACAAACACCTCCCTCGAAGAACGGTCTAAACGACGACCCCAAGGCAGAAGGCCAGGACGGAGAGGGTGATGTGGCCATGGACGACGCCGACGCTGCCGAATCTGCCGAGAAGCCTTTGGGTGAGAATCCCCTCTTGATCACAGAGGCTCCCTGGAACACACCCAAGGCTCGTGAGAAGGCTATTGAGATCATCATGGAGAACTGGGGGTGCCCTGCCTTCTGGCTGAGTCGCACTCCGGTATTGGCAGCATTCGCCGCTGGCAAGGCTACCTCACTGGTTATTGACGTGGGCGGTGCCAACACCTCGGTCACAGCTATTCACGACGGCATGGTATTGAAGCGATCTATCCAGAAGTCTCCTGTTGGTGGTATCTGGCTCTCATCTCAGATTCGAAATCTCTTTGAAACATCAGAGCCCAAGGTCGAGCTGACACCCACCTTCATGATCGAGAACAAGACACCTGTCGACGCCTTGGCACCCCCTTCAGTCCGACTACGACACTTCCCCTTTCAGATCAACGATTCATTCCGCGCATATGAGGAAGAGCGTGTGTTGACGGAATTCAAGGAGTCAGTAGTAGAAGTCTGGCGAGGCCCTGGTCGTTACAGTGTTTCCGGCAATGAGGATTATGTTAAGACGCAACCCGGCCGGGTATTCGAAATGCCAGACGGTTATAACCAGATGTGGCGCGAGCAACGATTCAGAGTGACAGAGGGCATGTTTGACGAGACCGTCGGATACAACGGCTCTGATGCTGAGCAACTCACCAAAGCCCAAACCATCCCTGAGCTCATCCGCTCTGCTTTGAACGCAGTTGACGTCGATCTCCGGGGTAATCTCCTGGCTAACGTCGTTGTAACTGGCAGCACCAGTCTGATCAATGGATTCAACGACCGCCTAAACAACGAGTTGATCGCGATGTATCCTGGACTCAAGATCAAGATTCATGCGGCAGGTCTCACGAGTGAACGACGCTTCGGTGCCTGGATCGGCGGTAGCATTCTCGCTAGTTTGGGAACCTTCCACCAGATGTGGATTTCGCGAAAGGAGTACGAGGAGAATGGACCTAATGTGGTTGAGAAGCGATGCAAGTGAAAGGCCAGGCTCTAGGTGCTTTGGCTTCTGGCGTAACGGAGTTGGGGAGAAGATGTACTTACAACTTGAAATCAGAAGGGCCTGGTAAGGCAAAAGTTCATTCTAGATGGTTAGGATAGGAATAAGCCGCCGTACAATCAACTGCTGTAGTGAATTGTTTGTCGAAAAGAGTTCATACACTATACACTGTTAAACACCGAGTTGCTCTCTTCTTTTGCCTCAAGCTCCCTCTCAGCTCTCCGTTTCTGAGCCCATGTGCCAATTTCTGCCCATATACGTTCTTTTTCGGCTGGGGATAACGTAGCAGCAAGGCCACTTGTGCTGCTCGACACAAACACCTTAGATCCCTCCCATTCGCCCTCGATCACACCCATATTCTCAGATTCGTCCTGCCAGCCATACTTGAAAGCCTTTCCAACAGGTTTGCCGTGTCTTACGCGCCAGATACTCTCCCAGATACTCTTACCCACCACACATACAGACTCGGGACGATACTTGCGACACTTTTCGTGAAGGATTTCAACCCCCTCGTCCATCTCCTGCTTGCTAAGCTCGGAGCCATTGCGACTGGGTCGAGCGACAATGTTGGTGAATCCCATGGAGTACAGTTCAGGGAGTTGACGATCTTCGGTTGGACTGCAGAGACGCGGTGTAAGGCCACTTGAGTAGAGGAGCTTCCAGAACAGGTTGGAAGG